TATATGTATTATATATATTATAAATATTATATATATTATATATATTATATATATTATACATAGATAGTCCTACAGTGCTTTAGAGTGCTTACTTGTACATTAAACTTACTATTTTTATATATTTCACAGAATTTTATTAATGTTATATTAATGCCAATTTAACTTTCACCAAGTTTTGTATTGTAAGGAAATATATTAAAATTTATCTACATAAAGTCTAGAATGGTATCTAAGATATTATATTAAGGTCTATGTTGTTGATAAAGTCTCTTGTTAATACTTCCAGAGAAGTGTGGTGAAGAAGGTAACTGTGGTGTTGCTGACTGGGAGCCGCGTGGAGTTAAGCTGTGATCCTTCAGTTACACGTGTCAACCATGTGCTGCAGGTTAGTCTTATGGATGTCAGTAAGTGATGACAATTTTGTATTTTTGCTTCAGCATTGGATTTAGAAGTGCACAAAAGTTTGGTGGTCTTTTTGTAGGTGTTGGGGATGAGTGACAGATTAATATGTCATTCACATGTAATGTTGTCATTCACATTCAAGCTGTTTTGAGCCAAAAAGGAGATATTGGTGTTCCTTTATTTATTTATTTATTTTTTTTATTCTTAGGTTGAGACTGTCCTGTATCTAACTTTAATTAGTAATCCTTTACTATATATGATATGATGTGTAACATGTGTTTTTGAAGAAGTATAGTATAGATATTGATTCAAGAGAGTTACTGCCATTCTTAACTTTTTATCTATACATAGATACCAGGTATATTGAAAAAAAAGATCAATGAAAATGATAAACATGAGAGAACATTTAAATTCTTGATTTTGAAGAAAGATAACAGATTTTCTTTGATGCTTCCTGCCATTGTCCATATGTTACATCATATTGCAGGCTGTATTAGAGGAGGAATCCATTGCCCTTGCCCACCTGTTGGGTCTCGCAGTTTTGGGTGGAGGTGAATTTCACTTTGTGGCCCCACAGACAAAGCTGCACAAGGTGAGTTTTTTTTCACTTATCAGTATGAGTTGTATAAAATTAGTCTGAACATAAATCAAATATCTTACATTAAAGAGAAATGTTTTGTCTCATTGAAGAATGATTTGGTACTTTTGTAGAAAACTTACTGACCTCATTTTTGGCAGGTTGCTCCTCCTGGATGGAAGGAACGCCATCCAACAAAGGATGGACTGATCCAGGATAATTTCACACTTCATTTGCGAATTATGTATTATTTAAAGTAAGTAAATTTACTCTTACTCTGGTGTGTGTCTAATACCTTTCATTTGATTTTCATTTACTTGTATTTCTATCATTTATTAATTATAAATCTTTTATTTTTTTATTCTTTTTTCTTTTTTTTCTTTAATATTTCTAGTTTAGGACAACACACAACATTTTGTTGGTTACATTTTTCATTTTATGTAGAGTTAAATTTATCCTGAAAAGCAACTACAACAAAATAATATGAAATACTGGTAAAGATTTTAGAAAAATATATTTCATTAGCCTTTATGTTTTAAATAACTCAAGTTGTTCTTACAACATTATTATAGGACACTTTTCACCAAACAAAATATAATCTAAGGTTCAGCCATGTGGATGAGATGGATGCACCGTCGAGGCAGCTGTTATACCTGCAACTGCGACATGACCTGTTGGAGAGTCGCTTGCCCTTGTCAGCTGAGTTACTTCTGCAGCTGGCGTCACTTGCTCTACAGGCTGAATTTGGTGACCAAAGACATCAGGTAGGAGGCTTCTTTGAATAAATTGAGAAAAAGATTATAGTGGAGATGAATCTGTTGTTGTAAAATGTATTTATGATATTGTGTAACAGCATCCAGTAACAGTATTCAGGATATTTTTTTCTATAAATATTCAGGCATTCATTTGTATAACTGATTACTACCATATGCTACTTATAATGATGATATAGCAATTTTTTACTATTTCTTATCATATATGAGCTAGACTTTGGAGGCATAACTAATGTATCTTTCACTTTTACATTCATTTACCTGTATACTGCAACTGCTAGGAAAGTGGCTCCAAAACTACTTGTATTTTTTATAGTGATACTTATTAATATAGGTAATTAGTATTTTCCAACTATATTTTTAAACTAAAGGGAATAGATAACTATAGATTAAGAAATAAGTTATTAACTGTCTCTCCAACCTTTTGCCCTCCAGGATGCAGGCTACTTCCTTCCTGAGCACTATGTCCCTGAACCGCTTCTCCGTGGCAGACAAACTGCACAGTTAACAGAAGATCTTCAGAAACGCCACACAACTTTGACTGGTTTGCTTTATACAGTCGCTCAGACACGCTTCATTAGCCTCATTCAAGACAGCCAGCATTATGGAACTCATTATTATCATGTGACACAGGTAAGGCACAATCAAACACCTAAATGTTTGCGATAACCTTGCTTGGCTAAGCCTGTTTAGTATGTGATATTTAATGGACTGAGTTTATGCATGTATTTTAAGAATATTAATAAGT